GTTTTAGTCTCAACTAATATTTAAAATAATCATTTGATAAAAATTATAAAAACTATTCGAATGCTAGATAAAAAAAAAAATAATGATTTTGTTGTGGCTGAGGATTTTACATTCTAGTTGACAATATTTATCTTAAATAACTAATATATAAATTCTCATTCCCCTTGAGCATTCAGAGATGAATGAGTAGCTATATAAACGAAAAGACATCCACCCCAATAACTGTAATTAAAGATGCCATTAATTAGAACAAACGGTGAGAGCTTGTAATTTTCATCTATTCACAAGGGTACTACTAATACAAGAGGTATTCCCTACCTCAATGTTAAGCCATCAACTTTTATTATATTTGGGGGCTGACGGGTTAACGCATGTGTATATGTGTAAGTGTATGTGAGCATTGCGTTGCCGGGTAACCTGGTAAACAGAAAATGATATTATAAAATAATTTCAAGTTTCCGTCCCGGTGCCAGGGGGGTTTTTAATCCTTACATTAATCTCCCGCCCTCTCCCCAGCTTGGGATAACCCCCGTATAGCCTAAAAGGCGAGGAAAGGGTGGACAAAAAAAAAAAAATATCTTATATTATCCTTGCATGTCCACACTTAGGGGATTGACTAGAAATTAGCTATTTAATTAATACAACTGAAGATAGTAGATTGGTTGTTTAATATGCTTCCTAAACTGGTTATAGTTCCGTCCGACCGCTGACTTATGACGGTCTGAATGACTTCCGGCATATGCTAATTTGGATGGTTATTCACTTTTTATTTATAACCTCCATGAGGACGTTCAATTGAGCGAATAGAATTCGTTCTGAATCTATTGGAAGTAAACGCTTCTTCATCTCGCTTATAGATGGGGACATAGCCTAGCTGAAATCTAAATGAATATTTATGAATTTCAAATTCTTGGACCCGTTTACATTTAGGGATGTTTCAATTTATCAAAACATGATATGAAACTTTTGCAAGTCGCTTAATTTTCTGCTTCGGTTCCTAATTAGTCCCGCTTCGGCCCATCTCATCCACTGATCCCTTTTCGGTATACACTATGAATAGTAAAACCAGTTTTTTTTATTCTAAAATAGCGGTTACGTAAAAAGTTTAAATGTACGAATATTTCCCTAGCTTTTTTTTTTTTTTATAGTTTGCACTGTTTTTTTATCTCATATGTCCGTACAAACCTTTTTAAGGATAAGTAACAACTGCCAACATTTAAAATGTCTTTTCTCGCTGCTCCACTAATAATACTATTGAACTCCAGTAATAATATTTGGAAGATTGAAAAGTGTGTATATCAGTAAAATCATACATAATTCAAACTTAATGTTTTAAAACGAAAGGAGAAGGGAGATAATAGCTCAAATGAATATTCTGCAATGTGTATCAACGAAACAAAACAATATCTATCAATCAAACGATATCAATGTTTTGGTTAATTTATGAAAAGGGGCGGGGTGGCAGAATGGGCTAAAGCGTGTGCACTGCACCGCGAATGCCTGGCAACCGGATAAGAGATTTGAGAAGATTAAAAAAGTATGAGTTCGCATCCCGGTGCCGGAGGGGATTTTAAATTCCCCGCCCTCACCCCCCGGCCCGGGAAAATCCCGTATAGCCTAAAAGGCGAGGTAGGGAAGGACAAAAAAAAAGAAAAAGAAAAAAAAAGTTAATTTATGAAAATCGGAGCTAACATAGAAATTGTTCTAAACTCTAATCTTCTTGTTGAAGGCATCACCGTGAACGTCGTGCTGCGTCTTTTTTTTACGTATGTTGGGTTGTACTCATATTTTCGAATTCATCATACCAAGACATGAAAATACTTGCCACTCTACGAAATCGGACTATTTTTTTAAACAAAACAAGCAACTTTGTTGAAATCTCTAAGGTCTTAACTCGAAAATTCATTGCACAAATAAGACGCCATTATAATTCATTTTTCACATGTTTACTTTGCATTACGTGCTATGAAAGCTGACAGCCGTATTTATATACATTATATATATATATACTATAAACATGTTGGTTGTTATCATATAGGAATTTCTTATAGATTCCTCTAATGGTGAAAAAAGTTGAGCGATGTTAAATTACATTTATGGGGAATACGTGATTTTCTTGGAAATTCTTTTAAAATATATCCACGAAAGAATGAGATATTAATGTGTGGTTGGCGGTGCTCAACTAAATTTTCAGTAGACTATTCGAGGCTTTCAGTTGACAGAATGACTAACTCCAATTTCAATATTATTGAGTAAATTCATTTTATTGATGTTTCTAGTTGGAAAAAGTATACTATATGTACAGAAAGTGAATAAGTTGATTATAGAGTAGGTGATTGCAGTATTGAAATATAGAACTGTGATAAAGGTATACATTTTACCACTAGAAATATCATTAATCAAAATTAATAATTAAAAATGTTAAAATTGGAGTTAGTCGTTCTGGCAACTGAAAGGCTCATATAACTAATATATCATAAAATACTGGCATTTTATCAAAGGACACTGAATATAATTAAAACTTTTAATATATAAAAAGCTGTTTCCATTGTTTATAATAATTCTAATCAATACTTTATGTTTTAGCTTGTAAGAAACGTTGTGTAGTATTTAATTTATATTTAATGTGAAATGTAAATAATTAATTTTTTATTGCGACTATGTTCTTGAATATAAAATTCCCGGCTGGGGCATGATCAACAAACTATTCATGACACAAAATCGAAAGAAAAACACTTTATTTTTAGTTATTTATTCTTTATTTTTATGTCAGATAAGTAAACAAAAATATAAACATAAATAACATTGTTTCAATTATTTGAATGATAGATTTGTCCCCAAATTAAAATATAATGATCCCGTAATTAGTACGTAAATAAGAAAGCGCCAATGACGTTTGCGGATATTTTTCGCATATATTCTTTATAATGCATGAGACTTCCGAAACTTTAAATCAAGTACATCTGTCAATCCACTTTTACTGATGTGATACCCAAATAGAGAGCGTACATCCGGTGTACGTCCGGATCCGTCCAATGCTGACTGAATTGACAAAGGCTGAGACAAGAGAAGTTGCTACATCCGCAGGGTAGCCCGCATATCAACCAGCTGGTTCTGGCGGGTGTGGTGAGTAGATTACAACCAGATGTAGATAGAGATTATTATATGCATTGTAATATATGTATATATATATATATGTAAGTAAACTTTTATTTTTACACCTGTCATAGTAGTAACGACAATTAGTTAGTAAATTAGATATTCATTGAAGTATTAGTATTAGCTCATTACAATTAGTAATTTAAATGTTCATTACCTACATGAGAGGCATGATGCAGCTGATATCTACATCAATTAATTAATTAATTGTCAGGCGAGGAGGTCCCTCAGCCAGCTCCTCTTCAACCTTTTACGGACGTTACATGGCATGTGTGATGTGTCCTTGTTATTTATGAGATGTTGACTTTTAATTTGTTATGAAATCGTTTGTAATGGGTTCGTATGTGTTCTTTAACAGTCGGCATACGAAGGTCATGTCAACTGTGTGTAAGGTCATGTGGCTAACGTACTAATGTGCTTTGTAATTCTCCTGTATGTTTTTTTGTTGAAAAATTTGAAGTTTGCTTTCAACTTAGTTAACTTTTGAATTAGTGAGTATTTTCAACTGTTCCAAATATCTATGATGCGTAAATCCAAATAGGTCTAAATCAATACCTGTATGTGTTCAATTTCTGTCTAAGTTTCAATCTCGACTGTTTTCAGAAAAGTAAATTTAGAAGTCGCAGTCTCAAGTTTTTCATGATATGTGGGCATACCCATGTCATTTTTCGGTCAAACGCCTGACCAAGGTAGTGAACAGTGTTTGTCTGTGGAATATGTGTATTGTCAAGAAAAACTGGATGGCATGTTTCATGTCGAAGGGTAAACGTGATGTGCTATGATTCGTCTTGATTTAGTCGGATTTTTCAGAGTTTAAACCGGTCACGTAATTTTATTAAATTCTGTTGTATTGTCTGTGAGGCGTATGTTGAATTTATGTGTCTATATAAAATTTATATGTATATATAAAATATTCGTACAAACTGATGATATCCGTTTTGACATATATTTCATAACATTTGTTATAATATTGTTATCTTTTATTGGAAAGGAAAGGGTGAACGAAAGGACGACAAAATCCAATATTCACTTCTTCCAACTAGAAAAAGTTGCTAGTTTCTACCTCTTTTCATAAACATATCCTTAGATACGAACTATTTTCACCTCTTTCTCCTGGGGAATTCTCTTGCGGTCAAGCAACACCGACGCAGGTGCAGTTCCAAATTTAGCGCTGACTTACTGGAGCGACGGCGGTGTCCAGGCAGGATTCCAGCAATCCAGAATATCCTACAGGCTGTCGCATTCCGCTGACATATTTAGACTCCTAGCCTCTGTTAAATAGCCTCTTCCGTTCGCTTTCCTTCATTCCTTGGTATTTCCATTGAGCAAAGTAAATAAAAGTTACTTTTGAGGTAGACGTTACTTCTTCAGCTTTCTAGACATGGCCAGCTACTAGTAAAAAAAACCTCAATAACTTCTTAAAACTTTTACATTTATTGGATTTTATTTTCTGAAACAAAACGTGACATATTTACAGTTTTAAAAAACCTCGAAAACATTTTTTTATACGGACGCTTACATTGATAAAATATACAAAAAAATATATAAATAAAATTCAGTCTTAACACTCATTATGTAATGTGTCTTTCTTGTGTTAAAATATTTTTCTCTGAACATTTTATCCAGTACATTGAATTATTATCCTTAGATTTAAAGCTTGTAATGAGCTCGCGTGACCAATTTGTCGATATCGCTTTAATATCTATATTGGAATGACTTTTTAATATGTATCGATTTGTTCCTGCATGCAAATAAAATGACCACAATTTGATAAGATACAATCTGCACTACTCATGAGCAAATGGAAAGCACTTTAGTCGCCCATTTATTGTTGCGGAGTAATGTGGTGGACATTGCTATTCCTCGTCGGTATAGTCGGCTTCGAACTTGATGCAGAAGAGTCCACGGTCTCCGAAGTCTCTGATTGCCTGCTAGCCATCGCTGAGAAGTACCTGGACAGGCACTGCTTGGCGTTTCTCTTCCCTCTCAACTTCAGTTCCCCCAGCCTCGTCAACGTCCCTCCGCTTGTGAGATCCTCTCTGCTGAGGAAGATGGGCGACAGGTGGGCTTCCTATCTCCCTGTGGTCAACCCTTACAAGATGTTCAACCCATTTATGGAGCCTAAGCCAGGACCACTCCGCATGCTTCATTGCGCTCATGTAATCATCCTAGACAAGACAGATTCTCTCCTAGATCAAATAGAAGAGATTCTGTACAAGTTCTACAGTCATTATTACATGCACGGTGGCTGGGAAAAGACTAGAATGGTTGTGGCAGTTTCTAGTCCCGTAGAGGAATCTGAAATTTATGAGTTGCTTTTCTATATATTTATAAGGGGAGACCTGGACGTGATTTTTGTCGGTATCCTAGACAACACTGTTACCGTTTCAACGTTCTTCCCTTTCGGTAAAAGCAGGAATAGTTGTCCTGAAAATAATAACAGCACCGAAATACTAGACTTTTGGATGAATGGAACGTTTATCAGAAACGAAAACTTATTCCCCGAAAAACTGCCCGAAAAATTCAATAGTTGTACGATGAAAGTTGGAACTTATCATAATCCTCCTTATTTTATTGTTAACGAAGCAGGCAAACCTTCTGGAGGTATTGAATATGGCGTGGTCGAGATCATTGCTGAGCACTTAGGAATGAAGATCGATTATCGCATCTACAATCGATCCGACGCCTGGCTTTGGATGGAAAAAGACGGCCCCAAGGGACTAAGCACCGACCTGAGGCTGGGCCACGTGTGGCTCACTGTGTCCGGCGACAAAAACTTGGTGTTTACATTCCCATCTCTTATAATTCCCCACCCTTTCATGACTGAGCACATATGTTTCTTTTTTAAGAATCCCAAAGACGTCGCCACCTGGAAGTTGATTTTTGTCGGGTTTAATGAGATTCTATGGATAATATTAATTGCGACTGCATTCGCTTTTCCCTGCTGCTTATTTTTACTAGCAAGATTTCAAAACTACCAACATCCTTTTAAGAAGTTTTCTATTTCTTTGATGTCTTCATATGCACTATTATTATCGTTTCCTTCTAGCGTAGATCCGCGAACGATAATATTTCGTTTAGCTTTTGCGACCTGGCTGTTTTACACAATTCATATAAATCTTGCATATTCGGCAACGCTCAAAAGTCTCTTGACAACTGGCAAAACGGAACCTATAATGAATTCTTTCGAACAGCTTCTGGAAGAAAACTTAAAAACGGCGGTTACACAAAATGTACTCTATCAAACTGGCCAAATGGACGAACCTGTCATAAAAGAGATTTTGGCGAATCATTTAGTAGTTGAAGGCTATAAAGTTATTTATCATCAACTAAAAAAATACGGCAACTTATCTTTCCTTGATATGGATTTACCGTTTTCCTACACTGTCAAGAAAAATAACCTATCGATGTACAAGTCAGATCTGTGCCTGCGCTTCTTCTACCTTGGGATCATGATGAGGAGGAACCATTTCATAATCCAGAAGGTGGCTGATCTGTCGTTCCGGATCACCCAGAGCGGCTTCCCGGCGAAGTTCATCAAGGACTACGTGGAGGTGCCCAACAAGCCAACCCAAGTCAAGTTGCGAGCCTTCTCCATCGTCGATCTTTCTGGACCGTTCCTTATTCTAATTATTGGTTGTGTTTTAGCCTTAGGGTTGTTTTTAGGTGAAGTAACTGTTTATTCAGTAAAAGCTAATTTAAGAAAACGGTCTATTAGACGTTTTGAAGATGAAATATTTTAAAGAATCGAATAACAAATCATGTATCGTTTTATATTTATGTAATAAATAAAACTTAAATTAATGGACGCTATTGTGTTATGCTACAATCATTAGTATTAATATTTAAGAAATATATTTTCCAATTACAGCTATCAATAATAAAATAAGTTACTTGCCGTACCATGAGCTGTAACTATGCCATATAATAACTATGGTAAATCATTTGACATTCGTAATTGTACTGTAGTCTCTGAAGTCACAATTCCTATAATACCTTCTCTGAGTTGATACAATTATACATAAAAATGAATGTATTGTATATTAATCAGCATCTGTAATTCAATATAAACGACTATGTTTAGAATTATATAGTGATTAATTAATTATCCTTTTATGTATTTAATAAAACGCGGTATGAATTTAGGGAAACATAAACCCTAAAACGATTTCGATGTTTCTTTTAATAAACCATTTTAAAAAAAATATGTAATGCAGATATGTAATGAATAGCTTGAAAGCCCAGCGGTTCCGATTTGAAATATTTCCTAGGACACTCTCCTTATATTTAATAGAGTAGATAACAAGATTTTTGAAGTAATCAAGAAAATGATTTTTCGGTATAGAAATGTGTCTTTGTTTCGGCCATCAGTAATCATTCTTAATCAGAGCTATTCTTAAAAAGGGAGTAGTTTTTTCTGCAGATAGTTATAACTGAGGCCTGCGGTTCCTTACAAACTATCCAGAGCATCTTTATGACATCATTTGAATGAGACAAAGTTTACAAAAAAGGAATAATAATAAAATAAATAAATAAATCCAAAGTCATTGAATTATGATATAATTATTCTTAAAATATATCTATAAGAGACGTAAATGATAATGATATTTTTTGTGCAAAGAAAGATAAATATACTTCATAAAAATATATAGAACTTTCAAAAAGGGAACTGTTTTAGCAAAGTAAAAAGTAATAATACATATCATACTTAAAAAGTAATAAAACACAAATTTTTACGAATAATTTAAATTAAATAAAAATAATATTAGATAAAAATTCAATTACTGTATATTTCTGACTGTATCTACAACCATCATATTTTTGATGTATAGTATATTTTATTAACATCCTTTTAAAATGTACAAGTTGACTATTTCTTAGATAAATGACTTGAAGATCAAGTATCATATATCCTCGACATAAACCCAACAATGACTCTGTCCGGCTACTCCCCCAGTCCAGCTCTAACGGTTGTTAGGGATTTCTGTTCTCGGCGGACCATTTATTTACTGGACCCCATTTTTCTTTTTACTGCCGACAGTCCATTACCTTCCACTGCTTTGTTGACTGCGAAAATGGAGACCACTCTTTTCGGACAAAAATTGATACAATGCTGGAGATCTGTCTTCAACAAGTTGGATTGAAAAGTTATAGTTTAGTTGTCATATAACTAATTCTATATCTTCACTGGATATGCTTCAGTTTTAGATGTGACTGATGATTGGCTGTGATGCATTTACAACAATATACGAGTATATATTTATAGATATCTCGTTTATAGTAACTTATAAAAGTGTATACGGACTGGGCAGTCTAAGGCACTTGCATTAGTTAAGCAAATTCGAGTTTGTTGAATACTTGAATGGGTGAGCGTCCATCCTGGAAATCCCCGCTAACTAAGATCACCACTGGTATGTGAGACCCGTCAGACTACTGGAGGTAACTAATATCGTCCAAGCTCTGCGTAGAAGAGACGACTCAATCCCGTTTACTTTATTCGAGAAAAACTGTATGGTTTCCAGGATGCTGGAACTCTCTCCCAGAAGTTTGGTCCATGACAGTCTGTTTCATAAAAAGTAATATAGATCCTCTTGCACCTTCTGACTCGGCGGAGCAGCTATAATCCCTGGATCTGGACCGATTTGGCTCTGCCCTTGAGACGGAGTCCATCGATAAGAAATACACTGCCTGATTGCCCTCACAAGGAACGGCTATGAAGTTATGGGTGGTCTGCCACTGCAACATGCTAACCATGATCTGTAGCAAGACGAGGTTGGGTAGCTTCTGTAAGGATACCAGTACATGGTCTATAGCGTCAAGCGAAATATATATTTATATACATACATAAGCATATCATTTGGTGTCTTGTAGCCTTCATATGGATTCTTTGGAAAATAAGTCATTAATTATGTATTAGAACCCAAGTTTCGATCAATAATTTGCAATACAGGCTGATACAATCCTATACCGCTATATATAAAAATATAATTTTAGAGAAATGGATATGAAAACATTAAAAGCATTTTTTTTAATTAAGCAATATAAACATGAGTACCAAGTTTCACTATATAACTTTTATTTATATATATATATATATATATATGTATGTATGTAATTAGTGTTATATTCTAATTAAGTACTAATCGGTAGTTGTTGAGTGGAGTTCAACATTCTGTTTTGAAGTATCTACTCCATACCAGCCCCCCTCCCCATAAAGTAGGCCTCATTTCCTCCGTACTTCAGATACTTGGATGTTATAAAGTTTCACCAACAAGAGCAACTTTATCCGATCCTACTCTGAAAAGTTCCTTCCCCGCTCCAGTCAAATGATTAGGAGCGAGTAATTATATATTTCATCGTGTTCATTAGGCAATCTTCTCCGTTTTGAGTAAGTCAATTTTGTTTTATTTAAAATATGTTTGTCTGATCATAATTTTTTATCTGTATTCACTGTATGAATTATTCAAGTTTCATTAATTATTTTTGATGGTAGTATTTTCTAAAATTTACGTTCAAACCGTTATTTGACTTAATTATTTCAATGATTAGCAATTTTACAGAATATACCTATAAAGATATTTTTACGTTTCAAAACTCTTAAGAATTCTACCAAAAAAATTCAATAGAAATAAATATACCTATTTTTTAAAATATAATTTTATTTTATTTTATTTTTTTTATTTCGTAAATTATATAATTTTATTTATAATATATGAGTAAAATCAAACGTTACTCTAAACCCCATAGTTCTGATCTATCCAAAAGTCTTCAACGCCTAAATAAACTTTAACTATGTTTAAAAATGAGTTTACTTATCTCTGAGAACCATACGTATAATTTTTAAGAGAACTGTATCTATGCTAAAATATGTAATCGAGGGAAAATTTTACGACTACTGCCGGCGTTATTTTCCTGTGCTTATAAAAAATGGCGTTAAAAACTGAGCCTGTTATAACAAATGGGTAACTATAAATTGATAAGTTCTTGATTTGAAAAGTCTATCATAAATGTCATAGGTACTACAAATTTCTGGCAGCCTTCTTTGACGTAATATAATTTAATTTTTCATGAATGGTTTAATTCGTTATTGCTTGTTTAGAAGTGTAGTTAGAGCTCCATTTAAATCTAGCACCAAAAAATCTATAAATTATATAATTAAAAGTATGCTTAAAATATATAATGTGAAATAAATTGGTATTACGTTTAGGCATTTGCTTTAAATATATAAAGATTGCCAACATTCAAAGAATTTAACGGAACGCGAAAAATGCTAGATACTACGTCACAAGGATCTTTTGGTAATTTTTCTATGGATTATTCCTCAAGTATGTCTTTTTTTATTTGTTTATTTCTACTGTATGCCATATCTTCGTCAATTCTTCATCAAATCCAATGCTCGAGTTATCATTTTGAAGATTATCTTTTCCTTCAGATCTGGAAAATAAGCAAATTCAGAAACGTTAAGGAAAACATGTTATGAAGAAAAGAAAACCTTATTTCGCGCATTACTCAAAAAGTATGCAATTTATTGCAGATTATACTCATGGTTATTTAAAAAAAGGCTTTTAAGTTCCCAACAAAAGAATACATTATTAAAATCTGACAATTCTTTACGAAATTGTATTTAGTAGGAATGATTTTATTTATTATTTTGAATGAACCATTAAAAAATAAAATTAATCCCTTTCTCCCATAATACTTTTCATTTACTTAATTCCATATTATAATGCCATTTGTCCACTGGTGATTACACTATGCTAATTCTTTGTGCTGGCTAAACTAGTATCATCAAAACGAGATTGTGATTAAAATTCTTCATTAATGATAATTTATGTCACTATTACATTTTAATGAATAAATAAATCAAGTGGTATATTATTCCCCTTATTTATTTTCGGACATCTCGAAGAAGAATTATTCCCCAAGAGCAGTAAGAAACACGAGAGACTTCTTGACGTTCCAAAACGGCTCCTGCATTACTGGAGCGAGACGGACTAGCGGACCCGCTACGTGGAATTATTCTGTGCTTTGTAATTAATTTCCTTATTCCAAGATGTCACGTTTTTGGGGATGGATAGCATGTTGTACAATTGTTATTTAGGTACTCTCTTTGGTGTTTTTTGTTACATATTTAGATCTAATATGACGTATAATTTCCAAAGTGTAGACGGGGATATAAGCGTTTGGTACTATCTTGTCACCATGAGATGTGATACTCTTCTTATTCATGAAGTCTAGTGCTATCAAGACTCCTGTTCCGCTTAGCCGCCTTATTCTAAAACAGCACGAGGCCGCTGCCAGCTGGATATCGAGCCTTATAAATTATTCAAGATTGGAAAGGAGGAACGATAAGGTATCTCATTGATGTCTGCCCTTCCTTCCAGATACACCCTGTCATCTCCCACTTCCTCTTGTATTCATGGATCAGAGTATCTTGGTATAGATTATATCGATGGCTCTGAACCATACTGTGGATGGCCGTCTTTATGAAATAATGCGTCCAGAATTATTCCGTATAATGCGACACTTCGACCAAGAGATATTATGACCAATATATAAAAAAATGTACAAGTGTGTTTCAGCGTTGATATAAAGTGGCACTTCCAATAAGCCGATTTTATGGAAAAGGTTGCAGTGACGTCTAAGGCATATACCTATCTTAAATACGTAATATCAGTTTCGCACGACTTTTCGTTTTCGAGCTAGAGTGTTCACTTACACACTGGCACACAGACCATTTTTC